AAATAAGCTGCAAAGGGTTGATAAGCCGTAAAAAACAAATCAATCTGTCAATCAATGACTGTTCTGGTCAGTCCCTAGATGGTTGACCGCTTGGAAATACCAGGTGCTGTAAGCTTGGATGTGCGGGTGGTGTAATGGATAATGGCTTGGAATTGTTAATAAGAGAGCCAAGTTCCAAATCTAGTTGGATTTGTTAGGGTCATTTAAATTCGAATCTTAATGTTGAAATGGCGAGATAGTTAATTTGACTGTTTTGATAATATCGACTGAGGTTGACGATCCCAATGTGCGGCCTCGTTTGCGCAGTACCTGAAAAACTATGCTACAGTATAGGAAACTGGTTTGACGAAACTATTCGCAAGTCGTCGATGGTTGTGTCTGAAGTCATCGTGACCAGATAATTGAAAAGACGTGTCTTCCTAGAAGCAATCGCTATTCAAATATTTTATCATATGCGCACACGGATCAACACAGCCTCAGCAGTGATGGCCAGACTGGATAGAATATGGAAGAGCGAGATGAGCTTTTTGTCCAAGTTCAAGCCTTTACAAATCGCTGGTCGTATCCATCCTCCTCTACGGAGACTTGGACATTAAAAGACAGGAAAAAAAAAAGGATCCAGCCGTTCGAGAACAAATTCTTGGGAAATCTCCCCCGCATCTCCTACTGGAATCACAAAACCAATGACTATGTACGGAGCAGGATCAAAAGTCTCGTGGGCCGACAGGAATCCCCACCCCTACCATTATTAAGCGTCGGAAGATATCATGGTTTAGTCGCGTAACACGGTAGAACAGCCTCTGCAAGACCATCATGCAAGGCAGTGTTGAAGACGTACGCAAAGCGGTGACGGCAACTCAAGAGATGGTCAGAGAACATCAAAGAATGGACGGACATGATAATGCCAGAATTCCTGAGTGCCACCGTCAAAAGACCATCCTGGAAGAGCTTGTCTGTTTATTCTGTCCTTAGGTTCCCTAACTCGATAATTCAAACAGTCGAACGATTGATGATGATGAAGATGATGAAGATGATAAAAGTGGACACTGAAGTCAACGAAGGCCAAAAGAATTGTTTTAATCATTCCACCTCCCAAGCAAGGTTCTAAAGATGCGGATGGATGGGGGGGGGGTGACTTTGTGTGTCGAATATTAAAATAATATTTTGACATTAAAAAAAAGTTGTCTGTTTCTTCGACCCCCAGGTCCACCACCCACCGCGTCGACGATTGAAGCTATCGAGGGAGTGGTGCAGCTACTGCTGCTGATGGATGATATTTTTAGACACTGACGTCTTTCTTATCGTAAAAACGTTAAGGCTTCCCTTTGCCGTGCGACGATAGCGTGGATGTAGCATCTCTGACTGATGCAAAAGCGGTCGGGTTTCGATCCCGGCTTGAAACAATCGGATGGCTAGCCATACTGATGAGCTGTGAAACTCTGTCTGTGAATGACTCTCTCTCTCTCTCTCTCTCTATCTATATATATATATATATATATAAATAAAAATTAAATAATCGATATAAACAAATTTTTACTACGTTAATAAAAAACCGATTAAAATAAAAATAAAAAATAAATACGTAAGATCAAAAATCAAAAATAAATAAATAATGACAAGCAAAATAATTTAACTCAAATAAATAAAGAAAGAAAGAAAGAAAGAAAGGACTTCCTGTAAAATAACCGCCAAAATAGACTACCCACAATGCACCACTGACCTGTATATATAAATAGCCAAGAAAAATAACAACACTCGTAGCATGACGATTGCGTCTAGCATGAAACAGACTGTCGCCTCTAAGTGTTGACTTCTATGTTCACTTTATATATATATATATATATATATATATATATATATACTGGGTGTAACAGCAAAATTATACAAATTAGTTTCCATTTGAATAGATTTACATTGATGTTTTGTGATTTAAAATTACTTTGGGAAAGAGTTCGCTTTTTAAAGAATTTTTTTTTCTTTTTGTTCATAATATTATATCTTCCATTTTCAATTTAATTTCCTTCTTTTTCTTTTTCAAATATTTTTCCTGCCTTTCATTAATTATCCCTATTAATTTTAAACGAATAGTGAGAAGCTTAATTAAAAGACTCATTTAAAAGTAAAGTAGACACACGTCAAGCCAGAAGGGATAAATCCTCCCTACTTTCGCGTTGGAACAATTTCAGAACTACCGATGTGGGTGGTGATGCAATATTAATTCAATTGAATCAATCCTTTCTGTTTTGAATTGAGTTATTTTAGTAGAGATTTACGATGGAGTAATGGAAAATTTCTCGGCCCTACCAATAGGGCAGGTCAGTTTTGGAACCGTGGCATTGTACTCAATTTAAAAGTTGGAATTTGACATGCTAAAAAATCGCAGAAAATATTTGTTCCCAAATCTTTACCGTTTTTCGATGAGATGAGTTCAAAGATTACGCTTAGGATCAAAATCTTAGCATTGGAATTTCATTTCGGTGATCAGTGAAATCCTTATAGAACGGTTTTATAAAAGAAGCTTTACAAATTATATATAGACAAGATGCAAGGCAGAAGTACATTATTACTAAATTGTTGTGCCATCAAATAAAACCTTCATTTACTTCAAAGGTAAATTATACTGAACAATTTAGCCATATTATGATGTGATGTGTTATACAGTGCAGTAGTTTTAGTGCATTTTTAAAACATTTTGGTATCTGTCTCTATTTCTGAGATGAGGTATTATGTACACTATTTACATTATTCCGATTATTGTTCTCATCTTTATCGCCATATTTATTACAACGTTTCTATCTATCTATCTATCTATCTATCTATCTATCTATCTATCTATCTATCTATCTATCTCAGTCTGTTCATATCTATCTATCTATCTATCTATCTATCTATCTATCTATCTATCTATCTCATTCTGTTCATATCTATCTATCTATCTATCTATCTATCTATCTATCTATCTATCTCATTCTATTCCTATCTATCTATCTCAGTCTGTTCAAATCTATCTATCTATCTATCTATCTATCTATCTATCTATCTATCTATCTATCTATCTATCTATCTCAGTCTGTTCATATCAATCTATCTATCTATCTATCTATCTCATTCTGTTCATATCTATCTATCTCATTCTGTTCATATCTATCTATCTATCTCATTCTATTCCTATCTATCTATCTATCTATCTATCTATCTATCTATCTATCTATCTATCTCAGTCTGTTCAAATCTATCTATCTATCTCAGTCTGTTCATATCTATCTATCTATCTATCTATCTATCTATCTATCTATCTATCTATCTATCTATCTCAGTCTGTTCATAAGTAACAGAACTGTCTTCAACATACCAATTACTCAAAGGGGCAAAAACCAACAACGAACAGAAACTGCTGAATTATGAACTTTATTTTCCCGAACCAGCAATAAAAATTACTATTATTCTATACGAAATTCAAACTAGACTAGAAACCATTTCTGTACATTTATTCAGACGATATTTAAACCTAAATGCCGAAAACTTCGTAAAAAGTATGAATCTAATTTTTGGTGTCAGTACTTAACATATTTAATCCCAGCTTTTACATTGAGTGCAATGTCGGATTTTTCAAGAAAGTGACAGATCAACATGTACTGCCCTAGTAAACGTAATATATTCAAGGCATAACAAATACGAAATATGAACGGAATATATATACAGAATCAGCCCATAAATGTATATACACGTCAGTAAAGGAAAAACTTGTATAGATATTGTAATGCTAAATGTATTCAAGCGTCACGAGACGAATACAAGTTACTTTTGGAATCTACAGTCACAAGAGATACTCAAAATGGTGGCCTTTAGCTTGCAGACAATATTACGTGAACTACTGCTTGGGCAACGTTGACCAATGTGTCTACTGGGATTGCTGCACATGCATTTTCAATTTCTTATCTTAGAGCCGTCAATGTAGTCAGTTTTATGCGATACACAACATCCTTTAGGACTTGTTGATCTTACAGCCATGATGGTAATGTCATCTGTCAAAAGACATCGTACTGCAATAAACAGTGTTATCGGAATTTCATAAACCTATGAAAGACAGGGAGATGCAGTGGAGTAATGGATAGCAGCTTGGAGTTCGAATTCCAGTCGAATCCATTATATTCACTTACGTGCTAATAACCTTCGGAAAGGTGTGAATCCCCTTCTTCCCCCTCAGCTATGGGTAAATAGTAGGACAGACTGGGCTCTATAGCCTTGGATGGCAACTGGTCTGACGCAGACAGAAATGGCAAACTTCGGCGGGAAAATCTGCGTCGTCAGTCATGTATCGAAAGATACATGATCGACTAAGTGTGTATTGACTTTGCGAAAGACAAGTTTTTCTTTTTTGAAGTGTTTACACATTTTTTGTCGGACTCTCTCGCTCTCTTTCTAAATATATATATATATATATATATATATATATATATATATAAGAAATATATATATTTGCTATATTTATGGAATAAAGTGCTCAATATCAGAGATAGAGCGTATGTAAATATAAAAGTGAACATTGAAGTCAGCACTCAGAGGCAACAGGCTGTTTCATGTTAAACACAGTCGTCAGACATGACCATTGCGTCTAGCACGAAACAGTCTGTGGCCACTGAGTATTGGCTGCAATGTTCACTTATATATATATATATATATATATATATATATATATATTGAAAAATCGAATCATCCTTGATAATGGCTAAAGTTACAGGCGAAAGCGCTCGGAAATATAAAACATTTGGACAGTTCTTACACACTCTTTGTCCAGAAAAGAAAGCTCTT